TTTTCCTGCTTTCCTATACCTCTGCCTTTTGTCTATCTCCATCTAGTGTCACTTGTAGGTAACAATAGTAAAGCTGTAGTAAACAGCATCCGACCTCCTCTGTGTCTTACTCTTGGCCCCAGAATCATTTCGAACACCCTCCCGGACCAAAAAATCAGACTGGAGCCTAACAGACCTTCAACCCTTACATCCCCCCTAAGACCACCTCTGTTAACAAGCAGCAGGTCCAGTAGGGCACTTTCCCTGGTTTGCTTCCCCACCAGCCGCGTTAGGAAGTTGTCTTCCACACACTCTAGGAACCTCCAGGACTGTTCCCTCTCTGCCGTGTTATATTTCTAGCAGACAGCTGGGAAGCTGAAGTCCCTCATGAGAACAAGAGTGAGTGATGACAAGGCCTCTACCAGCTGCTTATAGAATATTTCATCAACCTCTATATCCCGGTTGGGGAAGTCTATAACAAACTGCCCCCACGCTGTCTGCCTTATCAGCCTTCCCCTTGATTCTTACCCACAAACACTCAACACTGTTGTGTGTGAGCCGACGCAGGCAGGACACAGGAACAACCACAAAACCATGGATTAAGGGCAAAGAACAAATTTAATGTTAATACCTCATGGATCAGGGAACCTCTGAAGCAGACCATGCAGACTGCAATGTTGGGACATCCTCTCTTGTCATGAGGCCCAGTTCACTGCTTTTTATTTTATGCACTGGAGAGAAAATCCACCAAAAATGTTCATGACATAGGTGTGGCCTTGGCCATGCAATTTGGCTTGTTAAAGGAGAATAAGACAGTAACGCAGTCTAGCACTATTTCAGGATTGAAATGGTTGAGTCTTAAAGTTTTGCATTGTCATTTTGCTCCTGTTTTAACAAGCTTAAAGGGGAAAAACCCTTTGTATATCTTCTGGTCAAACTCTGTTCTGACTGTGTAATCTCTACCTTCTTCACTGTGACCTAATCATACGTGACAGTAACTCAAAGTGAATAATTTGTATTATTGGCATCTATAGATATAGTTTTCGTGTGAGCCAATGCAGGCAGGACCCAGGAACAACCACAAAACCATGGATTAAGGGCAAAGAACAAATTTAATGTCAATACCTCATGGATCAGGGAACCTCTGAAGCAGCACTCGGGCAGAGGCAGGCAAGCAGGGGCCGCAGGCACCGTGGAGTGAGAGTCCTTATTAGCAAGAGAGTCCTCGTTAGCCGGGGAGTGAGGGAGCAAGAGAGCTGCCACTTGCTGTTTGGGGCTGGATTGCCAGGATTCAGGCAGGCAGAGTTTTCTGCTGGGCTTTGATCTCTTCAGCAGCAGGGCAAGAATCCCAGGCGTGTTTGAGAAGGTGCCCCTGAGTCCATCCCAGGCCTGTGTTATCTAAGTGCAGATGTTCTACTTGTTGAGCACACAAAACTAAGCAACAATTAGTGTGAGAGATGTGTTTTCCAGCACCCCCCACATGCATATTTACAGTCCTCCTCACCAATCTTCTTGTCATTTGGCTTCTTTTACAGACTAAAGCCAAGGACAGTCTTCAGAGAGTTCTTACTCTCTTCAGAGTCCTTACTCTGAGCCTTTCCATAAGAGGTTCCACTCAAATATGAGGAGAAACTTCTTCACGGTGAGGGTGACAGAGCCCTGGAAGAGGCTGCCCAGGGAGGTTGTGGAGTCCCCTTCTTTGGAGATTTTCAAGACCTGCCTGGATGCTCCTGAGTAACATGCTCTGACAAGCTCTGGGCAATCCTGCTTCAGCAGGGGAGTTGGACTAGATGATCTCTATGGTCCCTTCCAACTCTAGAAATTCAGTGAAATTCAGTGAAATTCCATGAACAAGGACTACCCCAGAAGTGACTAGTCTGAGAGTGCCGTTGCAATGCTATCTCCACAAGAGGGAAAAAACGGAAGATAAAAGTTAAACTGCAATTTATTTTTCTTTTTTTTGGTTTGGAGGGCAGCTTTTATCTTTGGTCTCGGCTTGTAGGAAGTCTGTGTTAACCCTTAAAACATGCCAGCTGAAACAATACGCAACTGCCACTTAAAACTTCACAGCTGTTTCAAAGTTGTCACTACAACTGCACTGTCAGCTGTGTTAAACTCTCCTAAAATTTGACATGAGCCATTATAAAGCTCTTAGCTACCTAAGTGGCACTAGAGTAATGCCACTTGGTTTCTAATGCAGGCAGACACCGACCTCACTGGAATAAAAGATGCAAGTCCCTTACTTCAAAGCAGAAGCTTGACAAGCTCTGGGCAATCCTGCTTCAGCAGGGGAGTTGGACTAGATGATCTCTATGGTCCCTTCCAACTCTAGAAATTCAGTGAAATTCAGTGAAATTCCATGAACAAGGACTACCCCAGAAGTGACTAGTCTGAGAGTGCCGTTGCAATGCTATCTCCACAAGAGGGAAAAAACGGAAGATAAAAGTTAAACTGCAATTTATTTTTCTTTTTTTTGGTTTGGAGGGCAGCTTTTATCTTTGGTCTCGGCTTGTAGGAAGTCTGTGTTAACCCTTAAAACATGCCAGCTGAAACAATACGCAACTGCCACTTAAAACTTCACAGCTGTTTCAAAGTTGTCACTACAACTGCACTGTCAGCTGTGTTAAACTCTCCTAAAATTTGACATGAGCCATTATAAAGCTCTTAGCTACCTAAGTGGCACTAGAGTAATGCCACTTGGTTTCTAATGCAGGCAGACACCGACCTCACTGGAATAAAAGATGCAAGTCCCTTACTTCAAAGCAGAAGCTGTTCAATAATACCGCTTTTAACTGCTGGCCTTTGCTCTAGAACTCTTCAAATTTTAAGAGATTATAGGCTTGCTGCCCAGCTGAAGCAAATCCCGTGTTTGGAACTATGTTTAAGATCCTCTCCCTCATTTAACTTCAAATGCCTGGAGTAGTATTTGAGCTGATGTCAATGAAATACAAATTTCCAGATGTGAAACTCTGGGGAACATCCGACAATCTGCTGTATACATAAAATGTTATTTGGGGGATTAAGTATTAATTTATTCTGTCTACAGGTCACCAGGTAAGCCTCATACAAGCCCTCTAATTAATACTTAACGTCGTTATTTTAGATTTTAGTTATTTGTTTTCCTGGGTTTGATTTACTCAGCTGTTTTTACCGTGTTTGCAGCAGTAACTGCATCAATGCATTTGTTTCAAGAGTGGCCCTAAGTCTCTTAATTTATTTTTTTCACAGCTAACCAGGTGCTGAAGTTCGGGAGGCTCATCAGCACCTCCAACACCTCAGGGACTGTGACCATCCAGACAGACAAGCCTTTGCTGTGGACAATGGCTATCAAAATGTAACATCAGCCACCGCTGCCTTCTCCAATCTGACTCCATGCAAATGGCTGCGAAAATTCACTGAATTAAGACAATAAAGCTGTTCCAAAAGATGTAAGCAGGCACTGATTTTATGCACCGACTGGAAAAAAAAAGTCTGAAATAAAAAAGTCACTCGAGATCAAGTGAAGGTTAGTAGCAATAACTGAGCACTTCCCTCTGGTATCTCACACTGCTTCATCAGAAGACACGGGAGCTGCCACCCAGTAGCATCACAAGCAGAAGGGAACGTAAAGAAACTGCTCCTACTTAGTCTGGTTAGTTCAGACTATTTTTTACAAGGTGTTTTATTCCAATACTGAACTGGTTTTTCCCCTTTTGCCAAAGGAAATGCAGCGCACTGTTTCACACAGGATAACTACACTAAAAGGTGATAGCACTAAGAGCAGCTCATCTCATGTCTCTGCCCTGCTTTATAACCTATGCAGGTGCTGGTGAAGATTTCTCAAGAAGAGTAATAATTGAACTTTTCTACTTATGAAGCAAGTCTACGTGCTGAAGAAGCTTCAGTTTTGCTGTAATACCAATATCAGATTTCCCAGTATAAAGTGCTTTTAAAGTCTGTAATAGAATCACAGAATCATAGAACTGTCTAAGTTGGAAGGGACCTTTCAGATCATCTGGTCCAACCATCAACCTCACTCTGATCAAACCCATCACTAACCCATGTCTCTAAGCACTAGGTCAACCCAGCTCTTAAATCCCTCCAGGGATGGGGCCTCAACCCCTTCCCTGGGCAGCCCAGTCCAAGGCCTAAGAACCCTTTCCCTGGAAACATTTGTCCCAATCTCCAATCTGAACCTCCCCTGGATCTCAATCCGAGGAGGAAGAGCATTGCATCTACCACTGTTTTTGCAGGCTCAGTTTTTTAAATCAAATATTCAATCGTTTAATAAAGGAAAATTCCAGATCAACAAATGCAGAGCCTGTTATAATTCCATGTGCAATTGTCCTACAGAACCAGTATCCAACACAGGTGTATCTGCTGTCCAGCACGGTGAACAAGCTGTGGGTTCACTGAAGGAACTGCTTCATGTCTCTGACAACTAAACTAACCTAAAACCGTACATCTCAGTAACCAACTAAGTTTGCCTTTCTTAATTACACCATCAGGATAATGATTGGCAACAGAAGTTTTTTTTTACTTAATGGAGTTTTTTTCCAGTCAAGTACATAATATAACCTGACAGGATTTCCAAATGCAGGAATGAATTAGGGATAATGATGGTGATTCCAGAAATTAGTGATAAGAATGCCAGTTGATAGACTTTTAAGTCACCACTTGAGAGGATACAGTTATGCTGTTTTCTTGCACTTTTGCTGGAACGATGCTGTGAGTGAACCGTAAATTAAGCTTCTGAAGAGAAGCTCTGTGGTTGTCATCCTTGGAGGTTTTCAATACCCCACTGGAAAAAGCCCTGAGCAACCCCATCAAAATGCTACTCTGAGCCAGCTTTGAGCAGGAGGTTGGACTAGAGACCTCCCAAGGTCCCTTCCTACCCCATTGGTTCTATTATGGCTGGAAAGAAGTAACAAAACCAAACAAAAACCAAACCAACAAAAAACCCCAAACTCTACTGAAAAAAAACCTGTAACGTACAGGTTTGAGCATGCACACTTTAGAACAGGAATAAGATGACAAGACCGTTTGAAAATCCAAACTGAGCTTGTTTAATAAGCAAACCAGTTACAAAGCTGTGAAATCTTTGCAGCAAGTGTCACAGTGTCTCCTCCTTCATGATGAATATTCAGCCGCCTCTGTTGAGAGAGCAAAGTAATCAGTTTCAACTAATCAAGCGTGATCAAGAGATCCCATCTGAAGTCTTCTTTGTCCTCCCACCATTGCCTTGTTGGGACAAACATTACTACCATTACAGCTTATCTACTATTTTCAAACATTCCTCCTTGCCTAGAGGACCGCTCTTAGAGGTTTAAGTAAGCCCCGTGTCACGGTTACATGGTATTTTTATAGAATTTAATCTGTTCCAGTGCTAGAAAAGGGATTATATCAATCAGCTCTGGAGAATCTGAGGAGTTTGAATTGGTGGTGTTAATACATCAGTACCATGGCTGACGGTGAACATAAGGTTGAAGCATTTCATGCTGCAACCTTCATTCCAAAAGGTGTTTCACAGAATGCAGTTACACCTAAAATGAAGTTTCAAATCTATCTGGCACTCAGTAAACGAAACAAGAGGAAATATGTTCTGTGCCCTGTCATCTTCCAACACACTCGCTTGGTTTTCTCTACCTTGCTGTCCCTGCATTGACTTCGGACACCCAAATTTATAAACTGGAAAAAGTAAGAGTATGTGAGATCCGAGTAAGGTACATGTTGTGTGGATAAACACACACTGAGGAACTGGAAATCAAAATATTTGACGTTCAGTTTTGAAGGAGAATACTAACAAAAAAACCAAACAACTAATTAAGAACTATGGATCTAATATTTTGCAGCATGGTAAATTAACAAGCTACTTCCTGATAAAGTCCTTTGAATCAAGCAATACCTGTCCTGTTACACTAACCTGTGAAATGCCAATGTGGATCCTGTAGGGCTCACTAACATCCTCTATTTAAAACTGAACAGGCAGAAATGAATGTAAAATTTAGTGAAACTGAAGGTTTGTATTTACTTACACAATGATATTGTTGATTGGGATATGGACCAATTTGACAAAGAAACTAATAAATCCCATTATCGCAAAGCCTATTGCTGTTGCCATGGCGATCTTCTGGAACTCTGCAAAAACAAAAACAAAAAAAACCCCAACATTTTAGTCTCGGAAGCCTCGTGCATGGCATAGAGGAGGTGGGCACTACAGTGACCAAAGGAAAATGGTGGAAATGAGAGAAAATGGTAATGCTAACACAGGAAGCAGTTCAAGAGCAAACTGCACTGACGTTAAGAAACCAATCTGCCTTTTCAGAAGACACATTTTAAGAGAGAAAATGTTGCTTTCCACAAAGCACGGCTATCTCAATTTTTTTTTAAATAGTCAGCAGAATCAGAAATTCCCAGTCCTGAACAATTTGCGGACCATTTATTCCACTGCCTTTCCTTCATATCCCTACAGGCCCTCAAAAAAATTCCCAATACAGTATGAAAAAAGGAAAAGCTGCATTTGTGCCTGTCACAGGAAAACAGCACCAAAAATAAGTACTTAAGGGATATTCTCAATTATTATAAGAGTAAGAACCAGTAACAGTCTGGTTATAGTTGCACCTTCTCTATTGCCTTTGAGAAAGCCCAAAAGTCTTTTTCTATACTACCAGCAACAAAGCTCAAAAGCAATCCTAGCTCCGTTCGAGTCTCCTAAAATGCAGCGTTTCCTCCAAGGTCACGTAACAAGCAGTTTCCTCCAGCCTCTCCCCCAAGTTGACCGCAATCAGTGAAACCTGCCTCCTGCTGTGTTTGTTCTTTTCAGAGCGCACGCGAGATCTTCTCAGATCAGTTGACCTAATACATGAAAATTCTTACTTGCCTGTCCCAAAATGGCTTATTTCAGCTGCTCAGCTGATTTCATCAGGTGATTTTTAGCAATCTCTCATGTACCTGACTGAGCAGACACCGGAAAAGGACGCATTCAAGTTTATTATATCCAGAACCCTAAATCCAACTGGACGACTGCTCAAGGTTAAGTTTCATACGGGAAGCTGAGGAACATTCCTGGCAAATAAGTCACAAATGGAAAGATTCGTGGTAAGACAGATGAGGAAACGAGGATGGTGCTCTGTTTTATTGTGTGCTCTACCTTTCCTGTCAGGCTTGGTGCATCTCTTGACGAGCCGTATGGAGTCTTTGACAAACTGGCGGCTGGGTTCCACGAATTGCATTACCTGATCCATGATCACCTGCAAAGATGAAGGGGTTCAGTATTGGCGCTGCCGCGCATCTACTGCAAGAGAGAACTTTTTAGTTACAGAAGGAGAAGGAGCGCTGCAGAAATTTCTAAAGACTTGAGGTAACTTAAAATGTCATATTCCAAGCTTTAAAGATACTTTCACTTTGCAGAAAATAAACACTGTGTCAATGTATAAACACGATGACCTACCACTACCTACAAAAATTAAGAAAAATACCAGAATCACAGAATACTCTGGGGTTGGAAGGGACTTGTGGAGAGCATCTAGTCCAACCACCTGCCAAAGCAGGTCCACCTAGAGCAGGTCCCACAGGAACGTGTCCAGGTGCGTTTGAATGTCTCCAGAGGAGACTCCATCACCTCCCTGGGCAGCCTCTGCCAGGGCTCTGCCACCCTCACAGCAAAGAAGTTCCTCCTCATGTTTAGGTGGAACTTCTTATGTTCAGGTTTGTGCCCATTTCCTCTTGTCCTGTCAATGGGCCCCAGTGAAAAAAGACTGGCCCCATCCTCCTCACACCCACCCTTGAAGGATTTATAGGCGTTGATCAGATCCCCCCTCGGTTTTCTCTTCTCCAGACTAAAAAGACCCAAGTCCCTCAGCCTTTCCTCGTAAGAGAGATGCTCCAGGCCCCTCATCATCTCTGTACCCTCTGCTGTCCCCTCTCCAGCAGTTCCCTGTCCTTCTGGAACTGGGGAGCCCAGAACTGGTCCCAGTGCTCCAGATGGGGCCTCCCCAGGGCAGAGCAGAGGGGCAGGATGACCTCCCTCCACCTGCTGCTCACCCTCTTCCTGATGCCCTCCAGGATGCCATTGGCCTTCTTGGCCACAAGGGCCCATTGCTGGCTCATGGGCATCCTGTTGTCCACCAGGACTCCCAGGTGCTTTTCCTCAGAGCTGCAAAAATTACGCCTTTTGGCACAGAGGAAAGCAACAGCTCCATCACAGCTTGTGTCATCCTACGCCGTATTTTTTCAGAGAACGCTGCTAAAGTCATCTAAAGAGGTAAAAGTCCCCCGTGTAAAGAAGCCCCTGGGGCACAGGCCGCAGGAGGGCTGGTGGGCACCGAGACGAACGCTATGGCCCGATTTTATTCCCAAAACAAGCGCCCACCACCGCCGGCGAGCGGCACCGCCGGTCGCTAATTCGCACAGACCCCCCAGTACCAGGCTCCCTCCTATCGAACCCTCTGTCGCCGACCTCCCTCCGTCTCCTCCCCTTCCCTTCC